CGAGCCACCTGACTACTTCCAACAGCTTCTCATTTGGCTTATTAGTCTTCCAGGATCCAGCTTGACTTTCCCTTCCATCCTAATCACTCCCTATTTTCCTGACTATACCGTACAACCTATTTTCCTAATCAGGCACTGTGTTATTAATAACTACATTCAATCCTCAAAACAACCTCATGTGACAGGTTCTATTATTATCCTCCCTTTTACAAATGAGGAAACTAAAACTTAGAGAAGTTAAATAACCTGTTTAACATAAAGACAGAAAGGGGCCAGCTTACAAAGGAGTTTCTCACATGCTGTGCAATGTATTTTGATGTTAATATACTGTGTCAGAGCCAAACAAAATACTAATACAAAGTATGGCACACAGAAGTTTACATGGAGTACAGGTGACTGAAAAAGGTTAAGTACAAATCTAGAGGAAGGGAGAGATTTCTGTGGGCTGAATGGTTACGAAAGCTTTATACAGAGCTTGGAATCAGGCTAGGTTACAGGGGAGGGAAGTCGGAGGGAAGTCAGAGGGAAGGATCAGACAGAGAATGGGCTGTAAGCAAAGGTTATACAAAATCAGCTCTGACTTTGGTACCAGTGGAAGACTGTGGAGGCCAGTATGGTAGAAGACAGTACAGTCAGGAAAATAGGGAGTGATTAGAATGGGAGGGAAAGTTAAGGCTCGATCCAGGAGGCCCAATGAGCCAAGTGAGAAGCTGTTGGCAGGGCCACTCAGAGGAGTTTAGGATGAATCTGAGTGACTTATAGATGAGGCTGCTGGGATGGTCCATAAGCAGGATGATCAGGGCCTGCAAAAGGGGCAGTATCTCAGGGAACAGAGTATCAGAGTGATGACAAGCACTCAGGCTGTGAGACTGGACTGATCTGAGTTCCAGCCTGATTTTCTAGAGCCTTCAATTCCCTTGATATAAAACAGGGACAAAATCATCTACTTCACTTGCTTGCTATTGGGTGGAAATAAGTCAAATAACAACAAAGATTATATCTAGTAAACTTACTGATATACTGCTCATAATGTTTTTCTTTTTGAGACAGTTTCACTTTGTCGCCCTCGGTAGAGTGCATGGTGTCACAGCTCACAGCAACCTCAAACTCTTGGGCTTAAGTGCTTCTCTTGTCTCAGCATCCCAAGTAGCTGGGACTACAGGTGCCCACTACAACGCCCAGCTATTTTTTGTTGTATTTGTCATGGTTGTTTGGCAGGCCCAGTCTGGGTTCAAACCTGCCAGCCTCAGTGTATAGGGCTAGTGCCCTAACCACTGAGCTATGGGTGCCAAGCCCTTGCTCACAATGTTGCTCCCCAGTACAAGTCCATCATTCCTTTAAATATTCACAAATATTTACAGAGCAACAATTACTTACAAGTCATACACCGACAATTCCTCCTCTATAACATTGTCTCTTCCTAGCCCAGCATGAGCCATTCCCTTTCTGAACTTGTGACCATCTGTCTCCATTATTCATCTCAGCACTTACTCATATATGATTTTGTTGTTTTATTCCAAGCCTCTTCTATCATCTAACATATATGACCTTGCATCAATTATTTCATGTGTGATTTTCTTTCCCATAAAACTAATCATTGTGAGGGACAGAGAACAACGTCTTATTTCTTTGTTACTATCACAAGGCAGATCATACTTAATAAATTAACTAAGAAGAGGGTCCCTAGCTTTGGTTTTACTCAAGAACTCAGCTCCCTAATCATCCCATCTGTTTTCTAGCATAATGCACAGCCTGATACAGTACTGGTTTGCAAAACACTTCTTAACCCTTTCAACAAATAAAACCAATACATAAAATTAATAAAAGCTGATCAGCTCTGGTTAAATTGAGCATGAAGCCTGAAGGACCTCCCTGATATCTGCTCCCAGCTGTCAAACCTTGCGGCACCTACACTGAAGCCCTCAGCTACCGGGAACCAGCCTGCAAACCTATGGAGTGGGAAGCAGAGCATTGTCAGGAGACCCCCAGTTCCCACACTAAGTCACCTAATTAATCTGACCCTTCCCCTTCATTTGCTCTCCAAAAAGCCCTCTCACCATTACTCCCTGGAGAGGAAAGTCCCAGGCTTGAAGCACATGTCTTGAGCACAGGGGATACTTTTTGAAACCAGAGATCCCAAGCAATGCTCATACCAAGCACGGACTATTTACTAAAGCCATCTTTTTTCCCTTTTTTTCCTAACAAATGTCAAACTTCCTTAAAGCAAAGCAAAGCGAAGCAAAAATAACTGCGTAGAGTAATTAGAGCAAAAGTGGAACAAAGAGGCTTTCGAAGTGGCTGGTTAGAATTCTATAAGGAACAGTCCTCACAATACACTTCCCCAACATTCATCAGCAGTCAGAAATGATGGTACAGAAATTCTATCAACACTAGGACCCATCTTTTTGTTGCTAAAATAAATCCAGACAACAGCAATGGGCCTCGAGTAGGCACTTGAATCACCAGTGAATTAGAATTTTTCAGCATTCAGCACCAACAGAAACTAGTCAGGCCTGAGATAAGTGAAAACAGAAGTTGCCATAGTAACTTGCACGGTTACCCTAAAATGGCAGGAGTGGGGGTGGGGAACTAGGTCAGTATTGCTGCTTAACTAGCTCTATTCCTTGTCTAAAACAGCATCACCCTCCTACCTCAGCGCCAACAGAAATAAGAAGCCAGGTGAGCTTTTTGAAAAGGCGGTGGGGGGTGGGGTGCAGGGAGACGCCTAGGTGGAGGGAGAGAGAATCAGGAGGACAGCCAAATAAAGCAGCTCATGAATCTCAGAGCTCCCTGGGACTACCCCCAGGGAAAGCAGTTGCTCATCAAGGGCACCAGTGCTATGAAACTGTTGCTGGGTTACTACAAATCAGAAATTGCCACTTTTCCTGTAGCAGTTTAAGTACATCTAATGGAACACTTGGGAATGCATTATTAATGGCTGGGGCTAGGGGGTAGTGGCAGGCAGGGAGAAATGGGAGAAATCTGAGGCCCCAGTAAGAGGCATTCTTTAGTGGTTGAAAACTATGAACAGGGCTGAAGGATGCTCTAAAAGAGGGAGAGCGGGTGACTTGGGGATTCCTTTCTAAAATAAGAGATTTTGTTAATACAGAACCACAGTGCCCTTTGATACTCAGACCTGAAATGGCTACTAATCCAAGAGGGCCAGAGCAACTCTGGTCTCTAAGCTGGCATAGGGAGTGCCAGGGCTCATTATCAGCTCTTCCACCTGCAGCGCCAACAAATGTGGGAAGCAGGTTAAGCAGAAAGCATTTGGAAGCAGGTGCTGCTCTACTTCCCTGCAGCTGTTGATGTCTGCAAGGGGGTAACTAATGACTTTAACCACTTGGTGTGAAAGCCCTGGTATCTAGAAGATGACAGAAAGAATAATCTTTTAGGGTGGGGGTGTGTCAAAAAAGCAGGCGCATCTTTTTAATCAGTGACTGTTTCAAACACAGACCTCTAACTACGGTACTACACTATCCAAGAGCCTAGGCTTCCATGGGAAAGACCCTGGGGAGGGTATTTTAACCCAGCTGCAGAGTGGAGGAAGGACAGGCTCAGTCTCAAGTTTGAGCTCACGCTTTCAGACACAAAGTATTATCAGCAAATTATCCCCTTGTGCTTGTACATGTCTCTATTCTTCTGCCCTACAAGAGCACGGAGAGAGACTCAGAGACACAGCAATATCCATGATGACCTTAGAGACCAACAGCAGCTCAGACACTGGGAGAGAAGCATCCAGAACAAGTCTGCAGTCTGGACTGAGGAGAAAGACCTGGAGTAGCAGGCAGGAGGCCTCCACAAACACTGTGGCAATAAAGAACACATGCTGTGCAGAAACTGCAGGGGGGCTCCAGAGAAGTCAACCCCTCTTGGGAGGAAACCGTGAGAACAAACCTCTCTCCACAGAGCCCAGAAAACCATTCAGTCTGGCCAGCTCAGAATTATTTTTCTTTTACATATAGCACCACAGAGAGCAAAGAGACATTTGTGAAAAATCATTTTAAAAAACTTCATTCCTGAAAATGTTCACATATGCACAGAGCAGAGAGAATGAGATAATGACCTATCACTCAGTTTCAAAAATGGTTAATATTCTAGGGCTAATCTTAAGGCCTAGACAGAACCCTTCACTAGAATGATTTCTAAGTGTTACACAGCAAAAACCTGCAACCCAAAAGGGCAACTTCTAAATTCACCAGGAACCCCAGGAGGTGGAGATTTTAGGAAAGTAGCAGTGGTAAAGGAAAAGAAACAGATTTCAATTTCAACTCTTGAGTAATGTCCATCACAGTAATTGAACCTGCAATGTGTTTCTACAGGTTATATCAGCTGACTTTGTAATTCCTAAAAGAAGCATTTCTGGCTCAGCACCTGTGGCTCAAGTGGCTAAGGGGCCAGCCACATACACCTAAGGTGGTGGGTTCGAATCCAGCCCAGTCCTGCCAAACAACAATGATGGCTGCAACCAAAAAATAGCCAGGTGTTGTGGCAGGCGCCTGTGGTCCCAGCTACTTGGGAGGCTGAGGCA